CCTCTCCTCCTTCTCCATCTCTCTCCTCTCCCTTTCTCTCTGGGTTTCCCGATTTCCGAGAGACGAGGATCCACGGCCCCAAGGTAAAGCGTTCTATCAGCATCTACTCAATTTCACCTTTGCTTCATCTTCCTACGACGAGGCACAACCTCTCAAGAGGGAAGGGCAGGCAGAGGATGCGTCATGCCGCTGGGGATTCAAATACAATCTACAAGACAACACATGCAGAGCATCGAGAGGATGGGAGGTGCGAATGATGCCTGCAGGGTTTCCAACATCAACGACGCAAGCAAGCCACCGACATGTAGGAGGGAAGGAGCAGCCTCCATCATGCTGTGCACAACCTCCTCCTCCTCCTCCTCCTCCTCTCTCCCTCTGCTGCTTCTCCCTGCTTATCCGGCGCCAAATCCTCATGCGCCTCTAAAACCCACATTGCGCGTTCACCATTGAAACATGCAGTAAACAACTTAGTAAGCGAGCGTTATCCCCCACCCCACCCCTCAATGACATCAGTCCGAGTGAGCCCTACCCTTTTGACTGGGCGAATCATTACTTGAAAGCACCCCTTTTGACTCCCTCTGAAGAGTACCCCACCCCCAACATAATTCCTCCGATGGTAAACAGGATATGAAAGATCACAACGCTTTGGTACCATAATTAAAGATATTATTTTAAATATATTTAGAGAAAAGATTAAAAACGAAAAGACGTTCTATGGCCAACAGTTTGCCGAGCTCTCCTACTGAAAATCTTTCAAATATTACTATTAATTTTCAATTTTCCATGATTAAATTTCGGGTTGTCCACTGGGTGGGTGGCAAACCATGGGGTGGGGGTACTTTTTGCACTGCCCATTTCACCCACTTCTCCTGCTCCTGCTCCTGCTCCTGCTCCTGCTCCTGCTCCTGCTCCTGCTCCTGCTCCTGCTCCTGCTGCTTTTCCTCCCTGCCCATCCTCTCCTGATCCTCTACCTGCACGCGATTTCGCTCATTCCCGCATGATCTGCGAAATATTCCACACTATCGTCACAGCAGTACGCTCGTTCTGACGACGACAAACTTCTTTCAATCTGTTTTCATGTAATTCTACATCATGGAACGAATCTGTTCTTCGCAGTCAAATTTCTTTCTCTTCTACGTTTCTGCTTGCTGAAAAAGCTTGATGAGCAGAACATTGCTATGCTTGAATATCCTCTGGTTCATATTCATTCTCTCTGTTTCTCAAAGTCTGCTCCAACTACCTTTTCCTGTTCCTTGTTTCAGGTAGTGACCTTCCTGATCTTGCTGCTGCTTCTCTTTCTCCTTCTTCTCATGTTGACTCCGTCTCCTTCTCCTTCTCCTTCTCCTGCTCCTGCTCCTTCTCCTGCTCCTTCTCCTGCTCCTGCTCCTGCTCCTGCTCCTGCTCCTGCTCCTGATCCTGCTCCTGCTCCTGCTCCTGTTCGCCTCCTCTCTCTTCGCTTTCCCATCCCACCAACATATTCGTCAGCAAATAAAACCATATTTACTTATTACTTGTTTTTATATTATAAAACTGTTTTAGTGCTGACAGGCTCCATAAGGAAGTAACCTGAACCTTTCTTCCCCACCCGCTCACAAGTACTCAAAACCACCGGTACTTTGACCTGAAGATCACCCCACCCCCCCTTTGAGATCTTCCGCACATCACCGCCAAGGCCTAAGCGGTTAGTCCAGCTACAGGGAACCGTTACATTTTACTCGTTACAAAACAGTTAAATAACCTTGATCACCGTTACAATACCGTTGCTGGTTCCGAAATTTGTCCTCAACTATGGGCGGAGGAGCCTCTACATTAGCGGAGGAGGCGGGGGAGGAGGCGGATCAGCAAGCACAGAGGAGAGAGAAGAAGAGGGATACGAAGGGGAAGCAGGACCGGGAGAGAGGGGGGAGGATGAGCAAGAGGAAGACCTCAGGAGCTGGAGGAGGAGAGAAGAGAGACGACGAACGAGGCATGATGGACGTCCAGCTGCAGCTGAAGATCGGCCATGCGCCTCGATCAAAGTTGGTGAGTTGACATGCTTGAGGCCTTGGAGGGCTGGAGGAGAGTGCTGAGGCTGAACTGGGGAAGAGAACACACAGATCTGATCTTGTCTGTCGTCAGATGACAGCCGCTGGGCTGGTCGATGCAAACATCGACTTCCTGATCTCCCAACGACGGCAGCTGCGCAAGCAAGAAGCAAGACCCTCCTCCGCCTCCTCCTCCGCCTCCTCCTCCGCCTCCTCCGCCGCCAGGTGACAATGACACGCTGTTGCTCGACGATGTTCGGAGGTGATTCCGCGTTGTATCGCAGGATGCCGCGGAGGAGAGGCGAGCAGGAGAAGCGAAGAGAGCAAAGTAGAGGGGACGGGGGGGATGGAGGGAGTAGGAGCACGAGGAGGTTGGACGAAGGAGTGAACTTGGCGGACTGGACAGACGACGAGGAGGGAGAGGAGGACTACTTTGAACGCGTGAAGAAGAAGCGGGAGGAGGAGCTCAGGTCAAACATGCGGACTTTGGATCGACTGGTCAGGAGCATCTCTCTTGGGGAGGAAGGCACAAGGCGAAGGTATGGCGCCATGCGGCCCGCTCCTCCTGCTCGATGATACGGAGGCAGGGGGAGAGAGGAGGGGAGAGAGGACGGAATCAGAAAGAGGAGGAGGAGGAGGAGGAGGAGGAGGAGCAGATTAAGATGGCGGGAATGCAGGGTGCGATCTCAGAGGGGAGCAAGCGGAGGAAGAAGGGTGGGAAGGAGACAGAGAAGGGAGGAGGGAGGGAGAGTGAATGTAGCATGTGCAGGGGAGAGGGAGGTAGAGGAGGATGTAAAATTATCTTCATGAGAGTTTAACTACAAGTACTGTACAATCACTTCTCCTCTAAGGCCCTGTACCCCTTCCACCTCTTCCTCATCTCCTTCGGAATCACCGACGCCTCCTCTATGTAAGTCTTGATGGCTCGTGTGGGACCGTCGAAGGGCTCCATCTCAAGGCAACGATCCAGCCTGACCTGCGCCTCCTCCCAGTCCGCCAGCGAGCCGTCGATGCCGCCGAGGTAAAGGGAGATCGCCTGCTCGAACTCCTTGCGGAACTCGGAGGTCGTTCGAGGGCGGACAACGGAGAAGAAGCTCTGGTTGGAGCGGATGGAGGAGAAGTCGACGTCGTCGGGGACGGTCCCTCCCTGACTGACCAGCGTCGGCTCATCGAAGGTGTAGAGATCGATGGGCGACTTGCTCCCCTTGACGGTCACGCGGTCGACGCGGCGGCAGAGACGCTGAGCGTCGGTAGAGAGGAGGCCGACGACGTCGCCGGACATGAGGATGGAGACGCCGTACTGCTTGGTGGCTGCCTCGAGGCGAGAGGACATGTTGACGTCCGGACTGAGGGAGGAGTCAGCGATGGTGAGAGACAGGGAGGGAGGGGGAGGAGAGTGAGACGAGTGAAAGAAGAGATTGTGGCTCAGACAAGGGCATTTGCGTTCGTGTTGAGGAAAGGAGGAGGAGGAGGAGGAGGAGGAGGAGGAGGAGAGTGAGACGAGTATGATGATGGGGATGAGGAGGATGAGGAGGAGGAGGAGGAGGAGGGGGGGCAAGAGGGGGGATGGTGTGCATTGAAGGTTGTCACCTGAGGTAAGACACATCCACCTTGTGTTTGGAGCCAATCACACACTCAACAGCCCACCTGGAGTGAAGGTCAGGATCAAGAAAAAGGGTGTCAGAGATCGAAGAAGAGGAAGGTGTGGTTGTTACAGAAGAAATATGGTGGTGGTGGTGGTGGTGGTGTTCATGATGATGATGATGACGGAGATGGTGATGTTGATAGAGAGGAGGAGGAGGAGGAATAAGAGCAGTCTAGAAAGAGAGAGGATGGAGCGGAGGGACTTACCCAAAGTGAAGTCCGAACCCCATCCTGATTGTGAAGCCCGGCATTCGCTCCTGAACGGCAGGCCGGCTGATTTGCGCGTTGAGCTTTGTGTCCCTTGCAATTTCCAGCATGCACTGGATGTATGACTTGAGCGCGGCATCTGCCACATCCTGGATCGTTTCGATCCCCTTCTTGGGCTTCCACACCACCTGAGCAAGGCGTCAGCTACGGCAAGGAGGCCGAGGGGAGGACTGTCCATGCGGAAGGAGAGGAAGGGAAGCAGGGAAGGCGGGGAATGCTGCAGCGCGGCGGGGGAATGTGATGATGCTGATGCTGATGCTGATGAGGTGGAGGAGGTGGTGGATGAGGATGAGGATGAGGATTAGGAGGAGGAGGAGGAGAAGAGGGCAGAGGAGGGAGAGGGTGTCTCACCAAGAAAGCGTCCCCGATGTTCTTGTTTGGATCCCCATGGAACTCAACGACGCTGTCGTGGAGCCTCCGCGCCACCCCGTTGACGAGCTTCACCACGTCGGCTTGCAGCACCTCCGTGAGCGACGTGAAGTTCCTGATGTCGCAGAAGCCGAAGAAGGCGTTGACGATCGAGCCGGGCTTGTTCGTGTCCAGCGCCGAGATGGTCCCGCTCGCAAGCGTCCTTGAGATGACCCTCGCTCCTGCTTCTCCGAACCCGAGCTGGAGCAGGCGTGCGAGGCTGAAGAGGCCGTACTCGATCTTCTTCATCTGGGGCTGGGTGTGCCGATCGCAGGACAAGGGCTGAAGTGGGTCATCCACCATCTTGCGGATCTTGCTCGCGATGTTGTCGAGAGGGCGGATGATCTTCCGGCGGAGCAGCCCAGCAAGGCTCCAGGAGGAGAAGAACAGGACAAAGGTGACGACAAATGCCGTCAGCAGCCGGAAGCCAGCCGAGCTGCGCGCGAGCTCCCGCTGGTCCAGATGCACGCAGCACTTCCCCAGCTTCTCGTCCACCAGGCAGGTCTGCACGCCCTCGGCTGGATACATCCTCAGGCTCTCGATGCGCGTCTTGTCGCCGTAGACCTTCACGCCCGCCAGCTCCAGGTACACCACTTCCAGGTTAGCCCGGCTGTACTCCTGCAGGTAGGAGGAGACGATAGGAGCGAAGGCCCTGTTCTTCACGTTCGCGTTCGCGCCATAGTAGAAGGAGGTCCCCAGCATCCTCAGATCCTGCGTCAATCGCTTCTCCATGGGTGGGACCATGGCGGCCTGCAGGCACAGGAGCAAGACAAGGCAGCCGACAGTCGCGCAGCAGCGCTTGACGATGCTCCTGTCAAGCTCGTGATCGATCTTGGACTCGTCCTGAGTCTCCCACCTGACCCCGAGAACATTGAGAGGGAAGGACGAGTCTGACCTCGTCCTGTCGATGTACAGTCCCAGGAAGGAGGCCATGTGCGAGCCCGCCCGTGCTGTCTGCCAGCTGCGGGCGAGCACCATGATCCTCAAGGGGAAGTAGAGGAGGAAGCCGGAGAGCTCGTGGCCGATCACGTCCGGGAGGAGGGAGATGATGGAAATCGCGTCGAGGATAAAATACATGGAGCCAACAAACTTGTCTTGGCACAGGGACCTCATGATGAAGTCCAAAGCGAACAGGATCCAGCACGACTGCACCATCTGTGTGAGCAATGAGCTCGATCCAGCGTAGAAGAACTGATGGAGGTCAGGAACGAACGTGACGAAGCATGTCGCGCCCCAGCAGGCAAGGATGTACATGGACGAGTTGAGGACGGAAGGGATCTCCTCGCAGACATCGGTCATGTAGAAGTGACGAAGCCTGTTCATGGAGAAGGAGCTCGAGCTCACTGACGCCTCCATCGCCTCCTTATGCGCAGGGCTGATGTCCGACGCTGATGACAGGAAGAGCTGGCCTGACTTCGCCTCCTTGACATTCTGCAGGAGTACTGCAGAGTTCTTCCTTCCCTTGAAGTAGCCCTTGGCCGGTGACTTCGTAGAGAAGCTGGATCTTCGTCGGAACACGGAGACTATGGAAGGAGTGGGAGGGGACTGGCTCTGACAGAGTTTGAAGGATCGCTTCAGGATAGAGGAGCGGAGAGCTCGCTTCTTCTTCGCCTCCTGCGTCACATACCAGATCGCCTTCCTCCATCTTGCCTTGGCCCGCACCGACCACTCGGGGATGGGCTCTGGCGTCCTGACATTCGTCGGCATTTTCATCGCATCGGGATGGACATTTGCAAGGCAGGAGCAGCTGACATTGACCGTCAGGGATGTCTTGCTTTTCCTCCTCTGCCTGTAAGGGGCCTTCTGAAAACCCTTGGCACCGGAACTGTCCACAAGCGTAGACATCGTTCACGAAGTCTAACCCTTCCCTGCGAGAACCGAGTCAGAAACTAGCAGGTCATCGACTAGTCTGCTTCTTCAGATTGAGCTGGAACCAAATCCCTCCGGCTATGGCCTCCCTATTTCCAGTTTCTCCATGGTGTATTTACACACTACTGTTCTTCCGACCCCCCCCCTCCCTTTCCACTACCTCCAACTTTCCCCGCATTTTTATCCTGCTCTCCTTCTCACGATTTCAAAAACTCTACCACTGCTCCACCTATGTCCAATATCCACGTCCTCTTGTCGAAGTACACAAGATTTCTTACCTAGCCTAAAGTTGTTCAGCTCTACCTACGTATCACTAGACTCTCCACCGAGTCGATCCCTTCCTCTCTGTCTGTCAGCTCCCCAATCACCCCCTGCCCCAGCATGACCAGCCCGTCAACCCGCCCGCCCGCCCTCTCCAGCTCCCGCCATGTTCCCTCTCCACTCCCAGGACATGCCGGGCGCTGACAACTGATCCGAAACTTTTTGTGCCTACCCCTGCCCAGAACGTGTCTACCCCTACCCCCTACAAAAGTACCCCACGTACTCTTCGCGGACCTTTTCACCCCTCGCCCCCACCCTTTGCAACATTTTCCAAATTCGCTGTTCGACCAGGGGTACATGACTACATTGACCCCTTCATTTGAATACCCTACCTCCAAATAATCGTACTATTCCATTTATTTTGACCGGTCCATAAGGCCATCTAAAGCTCTATGGGGTGTCCCAGACCAACCCTTTCTTTCTATTACCCCTGATCAGCGTGTTTGCTCCTTTCACTACCCCACCCCCATGTGGTTATCACCCCTCTGAAAGGAACCCCCACCTGCGAATCGGTTGCTTTTGGAATGAAGCATTCCATGCCTACCCTTACACGTTACACCCCTACCCCCCATTTTCCCTTGTTCAACCCCTCACCCCCACCCAGTCTTGGTGACTTCCCTAGGCGGTTCAAACAGGTTTTTGAGCGCGATAGTGACCCTACCCCCCAAAAAGGATACAAACCAATCACCCACCCCTTATTATGAAATAAAATCCTGATAAAATAAGGGTGTACATATTACCCCACCCTAGTGATTGTTTACACACCGAAAGGTCCGGAGATTGGAGTCGGAGGATGGGGTACAGGGGTGATGAAACCAGGAAACTTGAGGGGGTGGGGGTATACAGTCGTAGTAATGCATCCGTAGCCGACAGTACGGGTGGGTATATGCGGATACAGATTATTTCTGAAGGGGTGGGGTGATTTCGAAAGGTATTTTGGGGAAATCACTTTGATGACTGAGCATGTCAGCACTTTCAAAGAGACAGTGAAAACTCACAGCGTTTGGTATTAAAACATTATTTTAAAAATGACTGGATATTGAAATGTAGGTTTATCGGCAATTTAGAACTACATCAGAGCGAAATGCAATTATTTCAGACAGGATAAAACGAATATCTTATCTATTCATGACCCTTGACCTCTTCGAAGAGTCGGACACTTGACCAGGCTTCAAGATTACCCCTTGCAGGCTCAGCTGAGGTGGGGCAGGAGGAAAGGAGGAGGGCAGAAGTCATGCAGACTGTAAGATCATACAGACTGTGATGTCACACTTCATACAGACTGTGATGTCAGACATCATATAGACTGTGATATGAGACAGACTGTGAGACTGAGTGTTGTATACACAACACAGAGATTGTCAACGACACGAGTAAAGTAAGGATGAAGAAGATTGGGAAGCAGGAAATAGAAGTCTCTAAGTTTACTGGGAGGTAAACTACGCACAACCACCACACTCACTGTGCATGCAAGTGGGGGAAATTCAGGAGGCCGTCCGCACGAGATGCGTCCGCCTATATAGGGAATATCCGGCAGAGTATCCGACGAGTATCCGTGGTTCCGGATCCTCATGGATACAACACTGAGTTCATTCAAAACTTGATTACATCTTATTCCAGAGAAATCGTGAGTCGAGAAAAATCCTTCATACACAACGCTATGAGAAACATCAAAAACTCTCTGTCATGACCATCCATCTAGCTGCTGATGAGAACGATTATGGTCTCCAATTAGGCCCAATGAGACCAGGAACCAGAACGCACGAGTGAAAAGCGTGGACACGAAGATGTCTTTGCAAGCTACACTCTTGCAAACTTACTCTCTTACTCATAAACTGACATTTGATGCGAATGTCATTTTGGCAGTCTCACAAAGGAAAAATGTTTGAAATAAACAGAGTTTCATGTTGCATTGCGCCGGGTCACATCGAGGCTATGGAGTTTTTGAAAAAGAGTCGAGTCTGCCACAACTTGCCAAGCGATGCGAATGTTTTTGAAGAATTGATGTGAAGCAAGATAGAGTAGCCTAGTGATCGGCCCGCCGCGGACGGTACCGGACTGCCCACTGCGCCGCCGCGCCCCCGCCGCGGGCGGCGCCCGAAGCGGCCGGGCGGCCCCTGACCGGCCGTCCGAGTTCCGGCGCCGAAGAGTCCGTTCAGTTCGGACACGCGACGGTTGGCCGAGGCGCGGCACTCACGGCAGCCGGCTGAGTGTCACGGTTCTAGTAGGGCTCAGTCCGCCTAGCGGCTACTACTACTACTCAGTTGAACTCGGAAGCCGCACTGCCGCGGCGCCGCGGCCCGGCCGCTCACGTGACTGCCACGGTCAGTTGTGACCGTCCGTCGCGGCCGCGGGCCCGCGGCGCGCGGCGGCCCCGGCCGGGCGGGGCCGAGCGCCCGGCGACAAGCGGGCCGAGCGCTGCCAGCCTGAGCCTCGGAGCCTGGGAGCGATCCGCAGCGGCCAGCAGTAAGGCCACCGTGCGGCGTGACGGTGCGGCGGCCTGGCACGGTGACTGTGGGAGCGTCCGGACCGTCACCGCCGGTGCGGTCACAGGTCGGACTGGCGCCGGGCACCACTGAGTGCCACCGGCCCGGGCCCGGGGCTGCGGCAGTGCAACGGTGCGGCAACAGTGTTGAACGCGTCCGGGCTGAGTCCCCGGGCGGCTGTCCCGGAGTTCAGCGATCGCCGGTCCGTCGGCGAGTCGGACGGTCCGACCGTCTGAGTGACACAGTGACTCTGAGTCTGGCAGAGTCCGTGATCGGCGATCGGAAATCGGAACCGGCGGAGGCTCCAGGGCCCGGCCGGAGGCACTGAATGACAGCACCGGTGGAAAGTTTTAAAATACTCAGGTGCCTGAAAATAGAATGTGTATCTAATTATAGAACTTATAAGTCGGTTTCGAACATCTGAGCCTGAAAATAAAAACCAAAAAGTGTTATTTGACACGAAACGCTGGTAGTTTCTGGGGCAGAGAAAACAAAATGATTTTAATATTACAATGATGCGACCCCCAGCTCCGCAGACCCGGCCTCCAATATATATAATCATTATGATTTATTGATCATTCATAAGCTTCCAAGCAATATTTACCTATAAAATTTCTGATAAAGGATAATGAATATATATAAATCGTTAGAACCTTCGATATTCTCTATACAATATTTTTTAACATACAACTGGGAATCGTTTTTATATTGGTCGCATGCAGAGGAAGAGGGAGAGGAAGGGGCGGAAGAAGGAGAACACCATGGTGAAGGCGAAGGAGGAGGAGGATAGAGATGTGTAACGAGGATAAGGGAGAGAAGGATGTAACAACCACAGTGAAGTACAAGAGTGTAAGAGATCAGAAATGTAAAATGAGAGCTTTTTCATTGCGAGGAGGCAGATTGCTAGGTACCGTGAGAGGGAATGAGGGCTAGACGGTAAAGGTGCTCTTTGCAAGACTTATGATCTGATCCCCTTGATTAAAATTCGATATGGATTGTGATTGTGTAGCTCAGCATTTTTTTTGGATGGCCAAGAGCGAGAGAGAGCGTCTGAGGCAGTAGAAACCATTTTGTTGGATTCTCCTTGTGATAGAAGAGAAAAGGAGGTGGGCAAGATCGGGCAGCAAGAGAACACCAAGAAACAACCTGAGGGTGCATGCAACGTGTGAGGCACGTTGGGGCTGTGATGTTCGTTGCTTCGTGGCCTGTGTTGTCTTCAAGTAACCCATGTTGTCGTTACCTATGTTGTCTTGAAAGCCTGCACCCCATCGTCCCCTTAACCGTTGAACAGATGACGAAACCCAACCAAGACGAAAAACACGATCGCCATGCAGGTATCCGATCCTCTCTCTTCCTCTTGCTCTTCTCCTCTCCTCTTGCTCTTCTCCTCTCCTCTTGCTCTTCTCCTCTCCTCTTGCTCTTCTCGCTTCCCTCACTTCGCCTCTCGCTCCCTCCCTTTCTCGCCTCTCGCCTCTCTCACACTGCGTCCATAGGATACGGTTCTGCTACCCACAACGAACAGATGAAGAAGCACGGAGCAGGTGCGTCCTCCTCCGCTCGCTGTGCATGCTCATGTGAGGTGAGCTGACTGGAGGGTGCGATGGGCAGGAAAGGGAAACTGGGGAGTGGAGGGACAAGATGAAGGGGACGCCCCTCTCGATCCTCGTGATCCCAACTACGACTCCGAGGGAGAGGCAAAGAAGGAGGGGAAGTGAAGGAGCTCGAGGCTAGGGATGACGAGCACGACCAATGAATAAGAAGTTTATTTTAGATTATGAGTCTGCTTGTACATACAAGATTGGTTGCTTTCCTCGTTGCTGCTTGCCTTTCGCATACGTATGGTACACACAAACACTCGAGCTGGACGAAGAAACTGACAAGCTCTGCCGCCTCCACACCCTGAGAGTGTCAAGTAGCCCGTTCACCCCTTCCTCCGTCCCCCATTATCGTTGCTCCCTGCTTCCTTTCTTCATCCTCCTCTTTGCATCCTTTCCTTGTGTTGGTTGTAATTGAGTCCGAGCTCGTCGGTTGTGTGTCTCCTCATGTGAACTCGTCCGCACGGCTCACGATCCTCTTGATCAGGTCGGAGGTGGATATTCCTTCCGTCCTCGGGAACGTCCTCGTGATGCCCATCTCTCGCGGAACCTAGACGAGAATCAAGAGCAGCCAATGCAAAGCAGGGAGGAGGAGAAAGGGAGGAGGAGGGAAGGGGGGAGGAGAAAGGGGAAGATAGGAGTGAGGGTAAGGGAGTTGAGGGACGAGGGGAGAGGGAGGGGCGAGCCGAGTGAAGCGGGTAGGGAGGGGGCAGGAGAGAGGAAGGAAGAAGGAGAACAGCAGGAGGCAGAAGGCAGGAGAAATGCAGGACGGAAAGAGGGCGGAGACAGAATGGAGGGAGGGAAGAGGACCTTGTAGTAGTCGATGCAAGCTCCTTCAGCAATCTTCTTGGCATAGGCCTCGTTGTCGAGGTTGTATTCTGCCCCATGAGCTACAATGTGTATGTTGTGCTCCTCGATAAACTCGCGCGTCAGCCCTGTCTTGCTGTTGGCAGCGGTCAGCTTAACTGACGCAGCCGGCAGAGCTCGCTAGCCCACCTGTAGTCGTGGGGGAGGGGGATAGCCTTGTGGACAGCTTTGCAGGAGTTGACCTCCCTAGGACACGATCGTGAGGAATAAATAGAAGCTGCAGCGAGGGATGGATGGAGGAGATAGAAGGAGAGCGGGGGTTGAAGGAGGAAGAAAATGATGGAAAGAAAGGGAGAAGCAGGAAGGGGAGGGGGATGGGGAGGGGAGGAAGGAAGATGAAACGAGGAGGCAGGAAGCATCTCACTTGCAACGCTCATCAGTCGTCATGATGGGCCTCCTCTTGTACTGCTCGCAATCTTCGTCGGACATCACGCCGACAAGCAGCCGGTTGCCGAAGGTGAGGGCAGCCTGAGGCATGTGAGGTGAGAGGAGCGCGAGGAAGAGGGGGGGGGAGGGACGTGAATGGCAGGAAAAGTTGTGAAGATGGAGAAAAGCAAGATTGGGGCGGAAGGGGAGGAAGGGGAGGAGAGATGGGCAGAGAGCAAGCAACGCAGCGGAAGCGAACGGCGATGAGATGGTGTACTCCACATCTTCAGAAGGCACGAGAGGTACATAGGAGAGAAGGAAGGAGCGATGTGCGATGGTAGCAGGACAAGACACGGGATGGTGAGCTAGTACCTGAAAGAGGTTCTTGTGTCCTTTATGACAGAGGTCGTAGACTCCGTCGCAGTAGACGTTGGTGGTCAGAGTGAGGAGAGGAAGATTCATGTAGAGAGAAAGCTCTGCCAATCTAGTAGCAAGTCAGCACAGGAAGGAGAAGGAGAGGAGGAGGAGGAGGAGGAGAGGAGGAGGGGGAGGATTGGGGAGGGGTGTGTGTGAAGTGAATCGAAGTCAATTGAAGGGAAGGAAACGCAAGGAAGGATAGGATAGAAGGGAGCAGGAAGTGAGGCTAACATGGTAACGTAGTAGAACATGACGAGGCCGAGGCTGATGAAGTAGTTGAAGATCGATGCCATGCACATCAGTATCACCCAAGGGTGGATCCTTCGTCTCGCTCGCTGACAAGCACAGTGAGACACGTAGGGAACGAGAGAGGAAGAGAGAGGAAGCGAGGAGGGGAAGGGAGGGGGAGAGAGAAAGGAGTTGGGAGAGGGGATAGCGAGGGAGGAGGGAGGACATGCAGAGGAGCAGAGGCAAGATAGCTCACCTTGGCAACAACAATGTCGGTAGTCAAGACCGAGAGGAAGAGTCCATCGCAGATCACGGACTTGAGGTCAGTGTAGGAGGAGGAGAAGGAGGAGCCTGAGATCCAGATGAAGACGGCGGGGATGAGCCGGTAGCAGATGCAGATCAGCAAGGAAAAGCGGGATCTCTCCTTCCCCAGCGCAAGAGCCGTCATCACCACGATCCCAGCTATCAGGTAGTAGAACCACTTGACTGTGTCCCGGCCGATAGCGTCGGGGTCCCCCTCGTCCCAGACGCGGGTGTGGACGAAGTAGTTGACAACATAGGGGATGATATAGGAATTCATCACGTGCACATACGTCTTGTAGATCCAGCTCAGCCCGAAGGTCGCGCGTACCCCCAGGATCGCCATGAGCAGCGCGAGAGCCTCCCCGGGGCCCGAGAAGATGCCATGGATCAGCTCGCCAGAGGGTTGCATCCATGCTCGCATCTGCTCGATCATGAAGAACATCTGTGTTGTTTGCACGATGTACCATGCTGTCGCTCCCTCAGTGATGCCGAGCACACTGAGGAGGGTAAGGGTGAGGAAGACACAGCCGATGTTGTCGCAGGACTTTCGGAAGAGGTCTCCGACTGGAGACACGTTCCTCACTCTCCGCGCGTGGATCCCGTCGATGGAGTTGAGGGTCATATAGGCGAAGATCAGCATCATGGCGGTGAAGCTCACGATCTGTGGGTTCTGGTCCATGTGGAAGTAGACGAGGTAGTACGCCTGAGAGTGATCTGTGAGTATTGCGGGGGAGGAGAGGAGGAGGTGGGGTAGGGGGGGAGCAAGGTATCGAGCGGGAAGGGAATGAGTGGGTGTGGGGGACAGAGTGGGTTAATCAGCGATTCAAAAGGTAGGTAGGTAGGTAGAAATGAGGGAGTGGAGCGAGGGAGGGAATGGAGGGAGGGAGGAGAGGGAGGGGAGGAAGGTACAAGAATGGAGGGAGGGAGGAGGGAGGGAGGAGGGAGGGAGGAGAAGATCAGGGGTGAGACTTGAACCTGCAGGGTGCACGTAAACCCGGCAAGGGTGAGAATATTCGGAGCGACAGTTCTTGGAACCAAGGAAGCAACCCAGTCCCAGAAAGGACTCAAGACACTGTTGGAGCAAGGTGTCACAAGGTGAGCCAGATCAAGTGCATACAATGACAGGAGGAGAGAAGAAGGAAGCAGAGGAACAAGAGCGGAGGGCGACGAGGAGAGTGAGTGAGTGAGTGAGTGAGTGAGTTGGGGGTGGGGGAGGGGGGGAGGAAAGGTGAAGGAGGGCATGAACAGGAGTAGTCAGACAGGACGAAGAGTGGAGGTCAGCGATAGTTGTCAACAAGGGGGAGGGAAAGGATCCAAGCATCACATTGTCGTGATGGTCTTGTTTCGTCTCTTGTTGCAGTCAGGCCCTGGTTACAATCAGAAACAACAAGACGGGAGAAAGACAGCAGCTGCAAGCTACCTCTCCAGGCGGCGATGTTCACCTGAGATAGATCGCGTCATTGTCACATCAGCATCCTCCTCTTCTTATCCTCCGAGAGGCCTCACCTTGTCCGAGTAGGAGAGGAACCATTCCGGACCCGCCGATTCGTCTTTCATGTTGCAAAAGTTTCACGGGACCTTCTACCGGCTCTCACGCAATCCCAGTCCTGGGAAAGTTCGAAAGGTCACCGAACTGCTCCACCCCAAAAAGTGAGTTTGCAGTGTCTTGTGATACATGGATCGATACAACTCAAACACAGAATCTTATCTACATCGACATGTCGTAGATCATCGTTGGAACTTCATCGACATCTTGTACCTCTGCTTGGTATAGCTCTTCCAGCTTCACAGAGATCAACGGTCCTCCAGCTCAAAAGGCTTAAACTGCGGCGAAACGTCAACAACAAGGCCAAGATTTCGACAGAAACTTGAATTCATTGCATGCCATGTCATTATTGTTCTGGTTTCTTCGCTCAGTCTGAACCTTGGAGCCAATGCCGAGCAAGAAATGTCGATCTTTTTTGAGGTATGCATTCTCCGATCCTTCTCCTATCTCGCTGCCTTTCGTCCATGCTACTATTCTTCTTATGATTTCACCCATCTCTGGCTCTTCTACTGATTTTTCATCTCCTTCCGTGATCACAATGGCTCTGACCCTCTCGGCACAAGGGGTCTGCAAAAAAACAGATAGCTCCTGCTGCGCACTGCTCTACCTTACCCTCATCCATTCCGTACTCATCCCTGCTCTGCTACTCCTCTGACTTGCCTGCCTTGGTCCTTCCCTCCTTTCTCCTCCCATCCTCTCCCTCCCCGCGCTCCTCCATCGTCCCTCTTTCATTGTTTCCTGCTTGCGTAAAGCATTTCCTGCACATGAAGTTCCAACCCCCACTACCCCTCTGACCCTACCCCCCGGATCTGGGGAATCATAGCGACCCACCCTCATTTGTACCCTCCCCCCAAACCCCACTACTGTACCCCCACACCATCCCCAACCCTGATTCCAGCTTCAGGACTTACCCTACCCTACTCGAAAATCGATCATTGGATGTACCCCCTTCCACTCAAAAACAGAAGTACCCCTACCTTTTAGCTGTTTCAGAAAAGGAGTTATGTCAGAACCCCTACTATGTACTGTCAGTACCCTTCATTTTGCCTGTGATTTCTCCTCACATTTGCTGTCCTGGTCTCCACCCTTTTGGTACCGGTGTATTTCAAACCCCTACCCCTTCTTTAAATGCACCCCACCTCTTTCATAAACTACCCCAGCCGGGGACTATAGCAGATCCATCAGGATCATTGAGGGGTAGGGGTACAAATATTACGACAAGTACGGGTGAAATTGGACTCATTGGGACGGGTGATATTCAATTTCATGTATTTTTCAGGGGTACTCTAACTCCAACTATCGAAACTGATGATACGCGTGCAACGATAGGAGCAACAGGGGTGGAAAGTGGTAGGAAGGAGGGGTACAAATACCACCGACCTCAAAAATACAATTCAATCCTGAAAAAAGAGGGGTAGGGGTCCGAATGGGTTTCGAAAAGAGAGGTTTTCGTATTTTACTGTATTTATGTAACGAAGTGAAAGAAGTGTAACCGTCAAAGATTCATCGGACTACGGTCATCAGTCCCGACCGACCGCCTGGCGGACTCCCGGACTAGTCAGTACCCCAGCCCGGCCGGCCAGACCCGGGGCGGTCACCGCCGAGGGCCGAGTGACCCCGGCAGGGCGTCAGCCGCCGCAGTGAGAGTCGGACGGTCACGGACCGGCGCCGCCGCCGCGGCGGCAACTTGGGCCGGGCGCGGCCCCCGGTGCGCCCGGGCCGGCGACGGTCGGACCTTCCGAAGTTCAACGGCCGGCCCCGGCGGCACACTGCCAGGCCCGTGACACTGAGTGACTGTACCGGCGTCACCGTACGGTGCCGTAGCCTAGTGCTGGCCCTTCTTTACTCAAAGTTAACTGATAGTAAGTTGAAAACAGGCTAGCAGTGAGTACGGCTCACGCGGCCGCCCCGGCCTCCGACGGACGGTGCCCCCGCAGTGCCACCGTGGTGAGCCGCTGCCGCTGAGCTCCGAGCGGGCTGAGCCCGCCGGGCTCAGAGCGGCCGCCCGGCCCGGGCGCACTGAGTGCCGGCGGCCGCCGGCGGCCGCCGCAGTGTCCGATCCGCGCCCCACTGGACTCTGGCCGGGACCCGGTGGCGCTATCCGATGATCATAGTATGAAGCCGCTGAGCGGCGCAGACTCCGAGGCTCGGGAGTCGAGAGTCCCGGCGGGGCCGGGTCCCGGCTCCGACTCGATTGCGCCCCGGGCCGCATTCCATTGGGTTCTCGACTGGATTTGTTTGTACCAGGCTAGCCTGTTTGTACCGAGGTATAATTGAGTTTTACCGGGTTCAAGGATTTTTGTATCAGGATCCCCTTTTCCCCTCCGTACTAAGTTTGTACTGTCAATCATCAGCATTTCCCGTGGGCCGGCAGAGCTCCCTCGACTATCACCTCTACACCACCCGTATGTTTCAGAAGAGATGAAGTCAGGGTAGGTAGTCTGAATTCAGGAGTGGGCGAGAATCATAAAAGTCTTGGGCATTCTGGTAGTGGAATTGACGCTGAAAAGCAATCTCTTCGATTGCCGTTAGGATTCGAACGCGTGGTCAAACAGCACCCACCTGAGCTAGAGTCTTATACTCGAGGGGGTGGCCGCGATGTGGGTTTGAATCGCCACGCCTTTGACCCCATTATTTCCACTCCAAACCTCCTTTTCGCGTAGGGTGGGTCACACTCTCGAGCGTTGCGAGTTTTACGGTTCGAATTTGACCAAGGTTCACCCTCTACCCCCCAGTCTCTGAATTTCAAATGGGAAAATGATGGGTAGGGGGTCCCCCCATTTGTCTCCACTCCAGCCCCCCCCTCCCTCGACGAACAAGAGATGGTGAGATTGTCCCATTGACGCGCGTAAGGACGATAATGAACAATGTGAGACTTCGAATCTAACCATGCATTAGTATGCAGGAAACGAAGATACGGTTACTTGTCTATTTGTGATGACTTGGTCTCTTCTGTGAAATTCAAGAAGTAGCAAGAGATTTGAACTCAACATCTCTTCCTCAACATAAAGCCAATGCAACATCTCTATCATTACCACGCTGCCTCAAATTGCACTAAGACCACTTAGATCACTTAGCTTAGGCCGAAGATGATGTCAAAGCTGAGCCAAAAATTCAAATTCTTGCACAATGACGATTCATTCAAAATGTTCAAGTGTAATTTCAGAATGGACAGAAGATGGCATAGCAACAGCCGATCTCAGCATGTATTTTGAAACTGTGATGGTAAGCAAAAACATCATACGAAACAGTGTCTACCTTGTGTTTCTCTCTGTCTCATGGTCTACGGTATCCTTCGTGGCACAAACCTACATGGCCAGTGAGTTGCATCGGGAACACTGTAGATGTGCTGATTGGACAATGGCAGGTACATGATATGGTTGGCGATATTCAGAGTTTTAAGAAGATAATCGTTTGTATCAGATGCTTGCTTCAGACGTGTCGATATGAGATTCCTTTCTACGCTGATAATCACGGCAGTGAATCGTATCATCGTGTTACTGCGGCATTGCCGATGATGTTGATGAAGCATCTTTCATGACAACCCGTGCAAATGCTTATTCTCTCTGCAAATCCTTTCTCGCAATTGCTCCAACCATGCAATTTCAGGAAAGTGTCTTGCACACTCCGAGATAGTATTGCATGTTTGACATCTAGGCTGTGATACCAGGGATCAAGCGATATATAGAGTAGGCAAAGGCTGTATCAGTCATGCAAACTTGAATCTGCGTAATAACAGTTTCTGAAGATTGTTTATTTGCCAACAAATAAAAGATGCTTCACCATGATGGTGATTACTGTGGTCCCTTGTATACAACAGCTCTGAAGCAGCACTGTCCTGGTAGTAGCGGCTCACAGAACACAAAGCACGCAATGGACAGGAGGAACTTCGGGAGGATGTCACAGTAGACCGTATAACACTCTGAGATACACTTTTCAAAAGAAGGAGATGCAAACAAATAGAATGATGTTGCATGCAAATCGAAACAGAGGTGTCAGGATCCTAAATGAATCATGTTGGCAACAAGGTTTGAATTTTCACCAAAGACAATTGAAACTCTACTGATCACAATAGGGATGACAATGAGGATGTGTAAACAATCACATCTGCTAAGCGTTGCTATTTGTTGCCAAGCGGAAACGCACCTGTGAACAACCTGGCATAGATCATCGTGATCTTCATGATAGCGGATTCAACAACCAGGAGTTAAAAGAACCCGTAAGCACAGGGTGCTATTTGTCCATCGAACTTCAATCGAACTCTGAAGTTGAGATAGGAAGGAACTTTGAATCTTCAAGAACAGGGGTTTATGTAAACTGGAAGGTGGCACATCTTGAAAGTCAATGTTTTCATTGGAGGACATATTATCTCCATTTCTTCTAGTCTCGATGCCTCTCAACGCAGCTGATTGTGGGCTTATGCGTGTTGCAACCCCAGGAAACAATCATCGTTGGCGCGACATGCGTGCCCGACCCATTGCGTCTGATTATAACATGTAACCAATCTGATTTCACACATCCAAAAAATTTGCTAACACTTTGAAATTTGAAGGGAAGGTTTGTTTGTTTGTCCGTGCTGTTCGTTTGTTTGTTTGTCCATACTGTTCGTTTGTTTGTTTGTCCGTACTGTTCGTTTGTTCGTTTGTCCGTACTGTTCGTTTGTTCGTTTGTCCGTACTGTTTGTTTGTTCGTTTGTCCGTGCTGTTTGTTTGTTCGTTCGTCCGTACTGTTTGTTTGTTCGTTTGTCCGTACTGTTGGTTTGTTTGTTTGTCTGTACATGACAACATGGCGGTCATGGAGATCTACTGGTACACTCATTGTGTAAGTAAGTGCGCTGGTCTGACTGTATGGTCTGAGCACTGCAGCTTGCGCATGCACATCAAGAGCATGGACGCTGAGTGGAAGCACAACTATGGGTAAACGGGTCAGTACAGAGATAAGATCAGAAATGTCATCGAAGAATGCAAGCTCGACGCTGAAGTAAAATTGTTGTTGTTGGTATTGTTGTTGT